GTCAGGTCTAAAAACCCTACAACAATAAGTATGGCATATTTCTTTTTGTAAATGAGCTTAATTAGATTATTTTCTGTTCTGTGTTAAATGACATTTGGATTTACTCTGCTGATGGTCCAGTGGTTTAAACGTAATTGTGATAGAAAGTTCTCTTGGTGGATCACCTTATTATGTGCAAACCATCTACCGTTCACATGTATTAAGGTAAACCTTTGCAATCTCTGGAAATACCGCATAATTGTGCTGATGCAGCACTAATTCATAGTGCAGTGTCTCGTGACAACAATCTGCACGTACAACACTGGACACACACCCACACAACATGAGATGCAAATAGAAAGAGACATGCACCACATGCACAGGGTGTGGTGTTATCAACGCGAGCACACATCACAAACAGGCCTTGCGCACACACAGTTCACAAACAGTGACTGTGATGAGCCGGCAGAAAGAGGAGCCTCTCTGGGCATAAATATGTCCAGCGTCAAGATATACAGCTGGCAATACCATCTCCAGCTGAAGCCTCGCTGATTGCTTCTCCACCCCCCCTGCACCCTCCCCCCCTGCAAGTCATGCAGGCGTGCAACGCACACAGGCAGAAGCATGGCCTTGCACATGTGCACGCAGAGCACAGACATGAAATACACACATGGTGAGGGGTGTGGGGGGGTCAAAGAAGGGATGTATTACAAAATGAAAATGACCTCTCAGTTTAATTGAGGATCATGTAAACACATCCATCCATCTTGCGGTGATGCCTTGTGCTGCTGAGCAGCAGTCTGCAACCAAGGAAGCAGCCTGGAGATGGGGGGGGGGGGGGTCCCTCCAGCAACAGGACACTCAGATGTCTTCTTAAAAGGTTTCACTGATTTGAAGTAATTAGTATGTCAATGTAAATCAATTCTGCTAAAATGTTAATTCTTCGTCGTAGTTTTAGACGGTAGTGAAATGTCATGTTTGGCCAGATCAATCCTTGTCTCACCGAAAGGTCCCACTCACACGGGACAGTATTAATGGTGAGCAGTGTAAGCGAGGGGCGGTGGGCGATCAGTCAAGGAGGACTTTCAAAACGTGGCGTTGTGTCACGTGACGCCGCGCCACAGAAGTCACATGACACACGGCGTGAGCCAAACCTTAATGTTTCTACTTGCCCTCACCCCAAACGCCACAGTTTTGTGATGCTAACCTCATGTGAACGGGGGCTACTGCCCGAACAGCAAAGTCTGACGAGGAGGGATGAGATCAGACTGCAACGAGACACTATTTAACCGCTGATGCTTCAAATCACCCTTCAGAGTAGTCCAACAGAAGTGATGCAACAGAATGCAATGTGTGGCGAGCTGTATGAATCCTCTTTGTTATTGTCCAGATAACATGACATGTCATTTAGCTGACGCTTTTATCTAAAGCGACTTACAATTACTGCATTTCAACCATAAGGAGACAAACTCAGAATAACAAGAAACCAGAAAGTGCAATTTAAAAAAAATAAGCCGATATACGACTTGCTATAGATAAGTACAATTTACCTTACCAAACTTGTTTGTGCTTTACAATTTCCTCCAAGGGAGAATAGAACTCCATGTAAAACTGCAAAAACTGCACATCAAAGTTTGAGAAACTTTTACTGTCTAAAATGCTAAATGACTATTGCGTGATGGTTGTGCAGTTGGCTCGATGCTCAAGTTGTTCAGCGTTGACAAAAAAAAAAAAAAAAACCTGAAGCGGAAAAAACCCTGAAACGCAGCAGTCAAGAAAGCTGATGCACACTCTCCAACAAACATAGCGTGACTAATCCCTCCTCACAAGTGACAAGGCCGAGTCATCCTGCACACAATGAGCGCTCTCCCTCGAACTGACTTCAAAGCAAAGAATTTGCCACAACACAGACTCGACATTCTGTCGGTGACGCACAGGGTTAACTAGACAAGACATTTCAGCAGCATTTGCTAAAAAGCTTGATGGAGCCAGCTAAGCTCCAGTGATTGGCCTTTGTGTGTGAAAGTGACCACTTGAGTGCTGTGCAGCCCCTCCTGACTGCGTTCGCAGGCATAAGCACTTCTTCGGACTTTTCGCCTGCCCTCGCTGTCCGCCTGTGTGCACAGAGTGTATCGCTGTGAGTGAATGTGTGTGTGTTTGTGTGTGTGTGTCTGCAGAACAAATGCTCACTGGTGCATTGGTGGTGTTTTTTTCTATGGCATGCATTTCTGTGAGAGCGTGCAGCGCGTGTCCTTGACTCATTGTGGTGCTGAATGTTTAAAATGTCTGTACTTAAGCAGCTATGAAAGTGAGAGTATTCACACATTCACAGGCTTGAATAGTGTCCACAAGCAAAATATGAGTCTTAATATGATGTGTGGTTATTTTAACACCCCTCGAGTTCTTTGACTTTCCATACTACAACTTATTATTTATTTTATACCAGCAATGCGTGATTGTTAAGCGGCAAACAGGTCTTTGCCGGCTTTGTTGGGTTACAGTATATATACAGTATATGATCTAAATCCCACTGAAACAAAAAGGACCAAATAATTCTTAAGCGCAGGTCGGGCAGAACTAACCAGAAAAGATACCCACATCTTTGCTGTTGTCTTTATGCCCTCAGGCAGTCAATACCTGCCGAGGGTTACTGCACCGAGAACCATCCACCACAGCGATGCAGACCGAAGCGTCTCAACATCTGATGATGATGTGGTGATTCAAATCCAGTTCGGTGTTCCAGTCACGCCCCCCCAAGGATAGATTGTTATCGCTTTGATGATCTGCGATGTCTCTGTAGTGCAACGCTTTGGTCATACTTTTAATTTGCTCCATACTTTAGTTTACAATACAAAGGACGTCCCTCAGGTCAGCCCCAGCTCCACTTTGTGCAACAACTTCACATCACAAACACGGGTGCAGGAAACCTGAGTTTAACCTTTTGAAAGTAAGTGTTACACACAGCGGTGCTGCTGTGGCGCCCTCCAGTGAAATGATGAACATGGTATCCCTATTGATCCCCCATATGGAGGATTTGGGTGTCGTAGCAGCTAAATAATAATAATAATAATAATAAATAAAACGTATCATACCATATATAAAAATATAATAGAAATATGGAGAGCTGCTCATTGAAAACTTACACCCAATAAGCTCCACCTGTTTCATTCCCTTAACAAGTGAGGGTTGTTGACTGAGGGAGTCTTCCAGAAATAAATAAAGACTTTGATATGGAGACAGCCCACATCGCGGCCCTCAAAAATGATAAAACATAACCGCTAGCTATACAAATTAAAAACAACAACAGCAGGAATCATCATCATCATCCTGCAATTACTGTGAAATCTTTTTTATTTATAGACGTTTTAAGCCTATAAATGTTACCCACACATACATACACATACACGTTGCCCCCAACAATAACTACATGTAACACAAGGGGTAACTACAGGGGCAGAAAGCAAAACGCTGCATTGTGTAAAGTGAAACGTATAAAAAATAACTAATAAATTAACTGATTAGTTCTCTGACAAGTAGTTACAGCTGAATAAATACGCATTTGCTGCCACTGGTGGCTTATTATTATTTCATGAATATTATTTTATGAATTCTCTGGCTGAGACAAGACACGGCTACAACGTCACAAACATGTGCACACAGAGTGACGCATTTTTTAAAACTATTGTCATCATTTTCTGTGTTCAGACAAGGTGTTATTTTACATATTCCAATATATGGCGCTCTACTGCCTCACTCTGACACATCTTAAAGGTCTGCGTCTGCCTGAGAGAGAGAGAGGTGTTCATCATCAGTGAAGGGCGAGTCCTTCAGCAGACGGGGTCAGAGCTCTAATCTGAGGAGGTGATGATATTGTGAGGATATTTAATGAGAGGATAAAAGCAAAAGCGAAAGGGGGGAATGAGTATTAGCCTTTTTAGATATCATTAAACATTAATACTGTCAGGGGGCTGAGCACACCGGGTGCTTTTCATTGACTTTCATGCTGCGTGCTAATAGAGTTTAACCTCTGGGGACCTTCAACCCCCCCACCACCCACCCACACCCCCACTCGGAGCAGATCGCCACCCCTTCCAGGATAAGCTTAGTGTGTGTGTGTGTGTGTGTGTGAGTCTTTTAGGTGTAGATTAGTGAGGTCATGCACTCTCTCGTTTTCGCCTCTCTTTCCTTTGCTCAGGATGTATGACATATGCATATTGGAACATTATATGCACGTTTATATGGTTTAGTATTATGCACGTGCATAATACTAAACCAGGACTTCAGATAGCTTTTTTGTTTGCATTTCCTGAGCAATGCCTTATTCTAATATAGCCAATGGGTTTTGCTCTTCTTGTTAATCCGCTTTCGACTAAAGACGTCTCATTGTCACACAAGTTATATTATGTAGAAGCTTGTTCATGGTCGGCGAAGAACACAATTCTGCATGACTGCAGATATTTATTTCTATGTTTTATCAGTCTGCTGGTTGCTCTTTAGTGTCACCTCTAAAATGCCAGAAAATCACAGTTTGCCAAAGTCAAAATAGATGTCCTTGATATCCTTTTCTCCTCAATAAATAACACAACTCACAACTTAAAAGTGTTCAGTTTCTTAATTAAAAATACCTCAGATAATAAATCAGTTCGGTGATCCACAGAAAAACAGTTCCACACGTTATTAAGCATTTGAACTGTTGTTGCAAACACAACAAAAGTGGAAGTTATTAAATCTAATGAAATTTAATGTGATGTTTGTTCTGACGGAATGGTGTTTGTCGCTAGAAGCACCAGCAGAGGGCAGTAGCACCCATGAAAACAGACAAGGACGGTCAGCACACTGTACCTCACACCCTGTGTGTCTGTGTGTGTGTGTGTGTGCTGATTGATACAGCTGGGTATGGCTGTGGTTAAATGCCACTCTGCAGGTGTTTACAGGCAGATGCGCGGCAGAAGCTGTTGTTGTGAGATGAAGTTGCGTACATTAAATTGCACCAAAAATGAATAACTGGATGTCATTCACAGGAATCCCTCCTCTCTGTCTGTCAACGACTCAACTGCACACTGTAAGAAACATTAGCCTACACTGATGAATCCATCCGTCATTGTGCATGTATTCAGAACCCTGCATGCCTTCACATTACTGAACCTCATTATTCACAACCATTGTGTGCTCTTGGTTATTCAGCATTTGGGCTAAAACAGTGTTTTCTTGTCTAAAACAGATCGGCCGAGTCCACTTCAACAGTTCCTCTGATTTAACCCGTTGCTGCTGGGCCTTTGCTGCAAAGTGAGCGGCCAGGTGACATTTGATTCCAAGAATTATACATATTTGTTTTGTTAAAAAGTACACGTCCTGGATGCTTCTATTTGTAACATGTAAGCTAATATGAATGCTGACAAATACTGAATTGTTAAGCACATTTATCTGCAGTGAGGGCGGCACGGTGGCGTGGTGGTTAGCACTGTCGCCTCACAGCAAGAAGGTCCTGGGTTCGATTCCGCCCAGTGGCCTTTCTGTGTGGAGTCTGCATGTTCTCCCCGTGTCTGCGTGGGTTCTCTCTGGGTTCTCCGGCTTCCTCCCACAGTCCAAAGACATGCTTTGGGGATCAGGTTAATTGGGGACTTTAAATTGCCCGTAGTTGTGTGAATGTGAGTGTGCATGGTTGTGTGTCTCTGTGTAGCCCTGCGATTGGCTGGCGACCAATCCAGGGTGTACCCTGTCTATCGCCCGAAGTTGGCTGGGATAGACCCCAGCCCCCCCGCGACCCTGTGTGCAGGATAAGCGGTTTGACAATGGATGGATGGATGGATTTATCTGCAGTGGAAATGAAAAGTTTACACCTTAAAGAAAATGCAGGTTTTCTGAAGTTTGAAACTTTGTGTAATTGTCCAACAAGCAAAAGTTTAGAGATTTAAAAAAATATATATTTTATATTTTGTTAGATCTCCTAGTGATTCAGCTAATATCTAACTTGTAAGCCTGTCACATGACTGCTCGTGTTACAAAAGTTCTCATTTCTTAACACTGTTAATCCGTTTTAGCTCCATCGGCCAGACGTCCGGTCTCCCCATTCGGTTGGAAGGCTCCCAGCCACAGGTCACATGACCTGGAGGAAAAAACCTGGGAGACTTTTGGGATCCGTCTTCGGTGAGACACACTTGCCTTATTTTCCTGCGTCTACACACATTACGAGTAATATGGCTGGCGGTTTGATCCATTCTCACTGAAAGTCCCTTCTTTAAAATGTGTTGAGAAAAACTTATGCAGGGAACGATTGTGTGTACAGGTACATGTGTCCCTGTTGCGTCCTCTCAGACTGGATGGTGGGGTGTTGAACCTCTTTGCTAGCGTCCTCTCTTCTTCTTCTGAATATTCCATAAATGTTACAAACATACTTTTGTATCCCTCCAACTTCATCTCTGTGACACACTTTCATTTTACAAGTGTTTAAAAGAAATCCCCAATTCAGAACATAAATGATAATGTAAAGGCTTTTGAAACCATAACCGACATGAACACAACCAACCTGACACAGCAAACAGTGTTGTGTGAGGTGATTTGTGAATTATGATTTATTATTCGTCCAGCAGCTGACAGATGTTTTTCAAAAATAGATCGGCACTCGAGATAATTATCCATGTGGAGATTTTAACTGCTAGCTGACATTGCAAAACATTGCTGCTAATGATTTCATAGTCCTTTACTGATTGGACAGCCTGATCTCCAAAACCTGTTCGTAAAAATGTATACGAAAATCTTGAAGATACAAATTCGTAGTGATACAAACTAAATAAATACGTACTGCAACTGATGATGTCACCCTATTCAAAGTGAATGGGGACCTGCACCCCGTAAACACACTTTGTGAAGTCTAACGATGTAAAATAATCGTGTCATAATTGCATTTTTAACGAGAAATCAATGTTAAAATAACCTCCTCAAAAAATCCAACATGGCAGAGAGATGTTTACGCAAGGGGCGTGGTTAACCACCGCCAGTTCGTATGTATTGTTACGAATTTGTATGTTCAAGATTTTTGTATACATTTTTACGAACAGGTTTTGGAGATCACGTTGGATTGGAGGAAGTTAAGTGCCAGGGAATGTGGTCAGGTGGCAGCAAAACCATGGAAGACAGCTGCTAGCCGATGGAATCATTGACGTAAACCATGCAGTCTCCATGAAGTTCAGTCAGGAGAAAAAGGAAAAAAGTAGCAGAGAAAAGTTGAAGGTGTATTTGGCAGTAAGCCTCTCTTAAGACTAGCTGATGACATGTGGCAAAGATGCTCTGTAGACATTCAGCGTGCACTCCAGCTTTCTTTACCAGCGGTTTATAGAAAAATAGTTATACCAGTTTACTGCCTCAGCTCACTTCTAAAACATTTCCTGTATTACAGTAGAGACATAATTACTGCAGCAGCAAAGTGAAAGAAGTGTCAGGTAGTGTGCACTCAGTCCTGATGTTCATCACTATACTTTGTCCCGTTCCATCTCAATCTTGGAAGGTTAGACTGAAATGTGCGTTGATGAATGAAAGCCAGCAGAAGGCTTGGATACAGACATGAATTAAATAATTTATCCTTTGCCATTGTAACATCTTTTTTAATTTGCACCAGGTGTCAGGAGGCATCAAGAAAAGGAAATACTGTCAGGATGGAAAATATATCAAAATCAAGTCCTAAACGATCAGACTCAAAGCTATGAGGGTTCGTTTTTCATTTCCCGCATCATGGAGAATCTTTATGCACCATGGAGGGATGGAGGGAATGTCTTTATTTATGTAAAGGAAAACACAGAATACCCTCTGCAGGTGACAATTCAACCATGAAGATATGTCATTTGAATATAAATGTTAATCGATCAGTAATTCTACATTGCTTTCAAATATTTGTTATTCCATCCGATTTAAGAAAACGTAGGCATCATCTACAATCCTTCCTCTTTTGGGTCTTTCATTTCTTAACTAACGTCAATAAAACCTCACAAATAATATGGAAAAAAGGTCTTACAGTCCAGGAAGTCTACTACTCAGTATGAATTATGTTTCACTTTCACATATAATGGAATATAATGGTATTACATAGTGTACCTCATGCCCACAGTACTTAACTGGTAGTAGATCATTTCCATGGGCATAGTTCACGTTGTCTCTTCACTATCTGACTCGTAACCCATGTTATCACTGATACGTGATTCTCTTGTGTTTAAGAGATAGAAGATATGAAAGTCAAGTTGAGTATTTTTAATAATTATATGGCATCGCTCATGATGATTCGTGACTGATGTTGCTTGGCTTTAACCCGGTCTTTTAATGATTCATTTAGGTCCTTTCAGGTCCCGCATAATGGATTGAGAGCAAAAAAATGAAAAAACATTTTTAATTGAGAGCAAAAAAGTACGATGGGGAATAATAAAGTAGAAGTGGACAAGTTTGAGTTTATGTTTCTCTGCCTGTCGGCCGGTTTCTTATTGAAAGCCTTTGAACATGTTTGTATGCATACACATTTGTATGTGTGTTTAGACTTTTAAATACTTGTAGCAAAGCTTTATAGATTGAAATCCTCTGCTTTTTTTTTTTTTTTTAATATCAAAGCTCCCTTGCTGTACACAGCGTTGCTTTGGACTGATAGCAACCTCTTTACCCAAAACAAGAAAACACTGCTCTACGGTCATAACATGGCTTCTAAACCAACAAGTCGACGCAGAACACGCAAATTCATAGTTAAAAGCAAGTAAATCAATACTGACAATTACTCTTGCAGATTCACACAACTTCTGATGTGCAAATAAATGATATGACATCAATGCGTAAACGGGGAGAGTAGCACACCGCACCGCACTGTTGCGTCACAACAAGAAGGTCCGGGGTTCAAATCGGCCCACTGGCCTTTCTGTGTGGGGGTCTGCGTGTTCTCTCTGAGTCTGCGTGGTTGGTTGGTGACTCCACGTTGCCCATCGGTGTGTGTGGGTGTGAGCGGTTGTTCGTCTCTCTGTCCGCCCTGCCATTGACTGGCGACCGATCCAGGCTGTAACTGTTTCTCCCCTCATGTTGGCCGGGATTGACTGCAGCCCCCTGCAACCCTCTAAGCGGCTCTGAAGATGATGACAGGACAATAAAAGCAACTGTTGAAATGTCCATGCAGTCATCTTTTCTATTGAGTTGATGAAATGAGTAATTTTGCCTTTGCACATTGTTTTTGTGGTTGCAAGTAAAACACAGTTTTCACAGTCAACCTCAATGCTCAGGAATAAACCCCGTCAGTGATTACCTTTCTAGAGGGAAGCTTGTTGGAGAAAACATCACACCAAAGAGCGGTAGGGTCTCTGGTGTGGTTGAAAAATGCTCGCTGATTGATTAGATTATATCAGATTAACTACAACTGCACTCGAATAGAGCAGATCTCTGCCTCGGTCCTGGAACATCTCAAAATGTAAAAACATGTAGATTATGATTTGTGCATCAGACCCGTGACCAATATCCACCCAAACATGAATGGAGAGCCCAAATGAAAAAGGAACATATCACTCACACATATTTATTTTCCGAAATGGGCATTTACACTTCTTAGCAACAAATCCGAAAAAGGAAGAGGGCAGAAAAATTTGTGGTCAAAAGGCAGACTAGGTCAGAACAGACGGCTATTGGGCTGATTCAGAAATCAGGAATCAGGATCAGGATACATTTATTTACCAAAATATGCCAAACATACAAGGAATTTGTCTTGGCGGTTAGTGCGCGACAGTAGACAGACAAGACAGCAGTGCACAAGTAAAAAAATAAAGTAAAATCAAATGCTAATGCAATGGGTTAGTAGAATAAGGCTATGGGTTAGTATAAAACAAGGGAATAAAGTGAAAATTTTTAAATATTAAAAAAGTTAAAAAGAAAAATATTAAGCATAAAGTGCACTAACGAACAAGTAACAAAGTGACGAGTGACGACAAAGTGACGAGTTGCAGTTGAGGTGACATGTGCAGTATGAAGCAGAGTGACCGGTGGAATGTTATAGTCAGTCAGTGGGGGACCGGGCTCTGTTGATGAGCCCGACTGCCGACGGGAAGAAACTGTTCGTGTGGCGGGAGGTCTTAGTCCTGATGGACCTCAGCCTCCTGCCAGATGGAAGGGGCACAAACAGTTTTTGTCCGGGGGGGGAGGGGTCGGCCACAATCTTTTTAGCTCGCTTCAGAGACCTGAAAGCGAACAAGTCCTGCAGGGATGGCAGATTGCAGCCGATCACCGTCTCTGCAGAGCGGATGACACGCTGCAGCCTGCCCTTGTCCTTGGCTGTGGCTGCAGCGTACCAGACGGTGATGGAGGAGCAGAGGATGGACTCGATGATGGCCGTGTAGAAGTGGATCATAGTCTTTGGCAGGTTGAATTTCTTCAGCTGCCTCAGGAAGAACAACCTCTGCTGAGCCTTCTTTGTGATAGAGCTGATGTTCAGCTCCCACTTGAGGTCCTGGGTGATGATGGAGCCCAGGAAACGGAAGGAATCCACAATAGTGACGGGGGAGTCACACAGGGTGATGGGGGAGGGTGGGGCTCTGTTCCGCCGGAAATCCACAACCATCTCCACTGTCTTTAGAGCGTTGAGCTCCAGGTTGTTCTGACTGCACCACGACACCAGATGGTCGGACTCCCACCTGTAGGCGGACTCATCACCACCAGAGATGGAGATCTTCTGGTACTACGGAACCACAGAATGTTACAGGCTTAAATACTGAGTGGCTGACGAGAGGGGGTGTGGTGCTGGTGAGAAGGGCAAGGAGAACCCGGTGGGATTGATGAGCTGATAATGTGTGAGGATCTGAAATGACAGGAGGGTTACTAAACATGCAGGTGAGATGAAAACAAACCAGGATGTGGTCAAATGTGTGACACTGACACCATCACCTACGCAATGCATGAGCTCAAATATTATTGAGCTTGCAAGAGGCTTCCCAAGCTCCATATGCCCGCCTAAGAGCCGCCTACTCGCCCCTGTCTGATTGGCTAATTCTACAACTGAATCATTTATGATTTGGGCTGTTCTGCAACGTGGCTTTCAGAGACTTGAGTCTCTGCACCACAAGAGAGTTTGCATTAGTAATGTGGTTGGCTTGTGTCATGATTAACCCAACATTACTTCATTAACTATTGTCACGGGA